GCTGGGATGACAAATGCCCGTCCCTGTGTTCAAAGCAAGGCTGCCTGTAGACTACTTCCCACATGTGATATAAGGGCACCATCTGGGAGTTAACTTGCCCAGCCTCCTCACAATGTTTGTGAGCTGTTTGTTTGTTCAGGAAATTCCCTGTCATCATTTATGGAGTTCCCCCAAGCTCTGTGCTGCCCTTTCTCCTCATTTAAAGGACTTCAGGCTGCATCTACAACCACCTGCCATCTGTCAGACTTTGCTTCCCTTCCTTTTTGCAGGAGTCCCCTGCAGTCCTTTCACCTACCGCTGTGAAGATGGGACCTGTGTGAAGAAACCCAACCCCCTGTGTGACACCAGTGCAGACTGCAAGGACCTGTCTGATGAGAATCACTGTGGTGAGGAAATGATCAGCCACAAGTCAGCCAGGCAGGTTCGGGATGACATGTAGCTGCAAGTTGCCCCGTTTTCTCCCGCCACCCAGAAGAGGCACCCACCTTCCCTTGTTCCACCACCTTCTCCCCACCTCAGTCCCACAGTACCAGTGCCCCTGCTCCATCCTGCAGTGGCAGGGACAGCAGCAATGAGCCAACTCTATGCTGAGGGTGAGCAGGCACTTGCTCTTTCGACAGCTGCTCCTTGCCTCCTTCAGACAGAGAAATCAAGCCAGACAGACATGTCTCACAGGCCCGATTCAACCCACAGGCTGCCTGTTTGACCACTGTGTCGGCTTATATGCCATTGTACAAAGCTCCAGCCAGGAAAATCACCCATGTCTGCATGGCCACTGGAAGGGAGGGATGTTTTGATTCCCCTACTTGTTTTTTTTCCTGGATCCTTGGTAGGCAGCAAAAGGGAATGACCAGGAGGGTTTCCTGACAGCACAGCAGTTAGCACAGTCAGCATGCTGCCCCAAAGGCATCCCCAGGCTGCAGATGGAGGTGGGGAATGCTGGGAGGGAGTGCACACTAGACGTGTCCTGGGAAGTACATAAAGTACGTACTAGCTGGGTAAGACAAGCAATTAGAGGTCAAACTTTTCAGTCAACTAAGTAGGGAAGGAAGGACAGGCACAGTATATCATGTTCCCTCCCTTCCCTGAAGTACCTGCTGTGTCTCCTCCTCAGACTGTGGGATGCAAGCTCCTCTCAGCAGGATTGTGGGTGGTATGAATTCTGTGGAAGGGGAATGGCCATGGCAGGCCAGCCTGCAAGTTCGGGGCCGCCACATTTGTGGGGGAACACTCATTGCTGACCGCTGGGTGGTCTCAGCTGCACACTGCTTCCAGGATGAGAGGTAAACGGAGAGGGGAGGTGCTGGATGGAAAGATTTGCACTGCTTTCCATATTATGCATGGTTGGAGGCTCTTCTGACTGATGAAAATATCATGGGGCAGCTGCACCCCTCCTCTGGCCCCTCAGCCATGCTTCTCCATGGCTTGGAACTGAAGAAAGGGGTATGGATACATGCAGTATTATCTGGGGGTGTGTGCAGGGAAAAAGGGGCAATGCTGGGATTTGCAGAGAAGCTTTGAGGGGGCAATGATAGCAGAAGATGCTGCAGAGCTCCACCTTTGTTTTGGCTCTGTGTTGTCCCCACGCTGTCACAACGAGGGAGATGTCAGCATGTGCTAGGATGGGGGTAGCATTACCTGCAAAGCGTGCCCTTTGGGTCCCATGCTCCTCTGCTGCATCCTACAGGCTGGCCTCCCCCTCTATCTGGACCGTTTACTTGGGCAAATACTTGCAAAATGCTACCGGCCATACAGAGGTGTCCTTCAAGGTTATCCATCTCTTCCTCCACCCTTATTACGAAGAGGACAGCCATGATTATGATGTGGCCCTGCTCCAGCTGGATCATCCTGTGATCATCTCGCCATTAATCCAGCCCATCTGCTTGCCAGCTCCTTCTCACATCTTTGAGCCTGGCCTTCACTGCTGGATCACTGGCTGGGGAGCCCTCAAGGAAGGTGGTAGGTTCAAGGTCTCTTGGTGGCCTACTGCAGCAGTGCTCAGGCAGAAACATAGGTTCAGAGGTGTCATAGGCAGAACAGCTTCTGTTCATCCCAAAACATTGTGCCTCCTTCACTCCTGATTTTGGGCAATAGTTTGACCAAATATACCTGTTGAGTACCCTGAATCCTCATGTGGAGAGACAGGCGTGGCAGTCTCTTAATCTATATGGGGACTGCATGTGTTTCTTCATCCAAAAATTTGAATAGCCCTTCAGATTAGTTCAGCGCCTTCACCCACTCACAGATTTGTTCCAGCTGCTTCCTAATTGGAAACACTCAGGAAACTATACAGAACTGGACACTCTTGGTTTGTACTCTTAGACAGAAGAGCTTAAAATCCATTTCAGTGAGAAACAAACCCAAGACTCTGGCAGCCCAGAGGTTTCCCCAAAGCTCCTTGTCCCAAAAGCTGAAGTGCCCACAACATATCCCTGTAGGGAAAGGAATCAAGGGGAATGTTATGCCTTCCATGCAGATAAAATGCTCTGCTGAAAGTCAGAGACTGTGATGCCAGTAGAGAGCAGAACAGAAATTTCAATGTCAAGTTTCAGCATGCAGTGAGGTAGACATGGGCTAGGGGAAGTTCCATATAGCTCACCTGTGCTCCTTTTGGTGTTCTACTTTTTAGGGCACATCAGCAATGTTCTGCAGAAGGTGGATGTGCAGCTCATCCAGCAGAACATCTGCAGTGAGGCTTATCACTATATGATTACTCCCAGGATGCTGTGTGCTGGGTACTACCAGGGCAAGAAGGATGCCTGCCAGGTGACAGAAGAGTTGTGGGATCAGGGCTGACTACCAGAGGTGGGATGTGTCCCATATGTGTGCATATGTGTCTCAAAAATGCAATCCACAGCCTGAAGTGAGGGGGGAAAGACCATATAAGGTCACTTTCCCAACACTTCCTCTGATCTAAGTGGCCAAAAACAGCTCTCATGACCATTTCTTCCCAGCATTCTTGCCTTAGACAGGATCCAAATACAGTTAAATTACCCTTTTCTCATTTCAGCCCATTCTCTACTCTACCTCCCACTTTCTAGTCAGGTGACTACACCAGCCTCTTACACCCTCAGCTTCTTTAGCACCTGTCTACACAGTAACCTGTCTGTTCCTTCATTACTATCAACCTCAAGGAATTCCTCTCTTCCATCCCTCATAGAATCGAGTTAAATTCCAACAAGCTTCCTTGCTTGCCACATATTTGGAAATGCCATACAGACCAGGAGGAATCAGTAGAGCAATCAGCTTTTTGGGACCTGGCTGAGGGGGAAAAAATTGCACAATGAAAGAATAACTGAGTCAGATGTTTGCACTGGATACTGTTTTTGACATCTGCCTAAGGTATAAGGAATGCTGCAGATGTCTCAGGCATGAGATGAGGGGATACAGGAATCTTTATAGAGAGGGGCTCAAAGACAGCATAATCAAGCAGCAGCAGAAGCTGGTGGATCACCATAATTTCATTTTACTTTTCTTTTTTTCTAGGGTGATTCTGGGGGTCCACTGGCCTGCAAAGAACCCAGTGGCAGATGGTTTCTGGCTGGTTTGGTCAGCTGGGGAATGGGATGTGCACGTGCTAATCACTATGGAGTATACACCAGGATCACTCAAGTGCTGGGCTGGATGAACCAAACCATGAGCTGAGAAAAGTGCATCTCTGTCTTCTCTCCATCACACCTACACTCACATGGCACTTATTCCTGATCTTGCTCACTTGCCTCCCAGAGAAAGAGAGTGTGGGATGTTGTCAGACCCAGGATGCTCTTCTGAACAGCATAAAAAAAGGCTGCTGCAGGGATTGTAGAGAAAAGCAGGCAGACCCTCTTCCCCATTAGTGCTTCCCAGTGAGCATCCCAAGGAGTTTTTAGGCTATCCATCCAAAAGCGAGCAGAAGAGAGGCAGGTGGGGGACTTGGGGGCAATGACACACAGCAGTAGTCCCAAGCTGATGTTTCTGAGAAGAGGGATAAGGGGAGTTGAACTTTCCATGAACCATGTGATTCAGCCAGTCTTATGCTGGAACATTTGCTGAAGAAAATGTGACTGATGTAGTTAGAGATTCCAGTAACTGTGAAATCAATCTGCCTCCCTCTTCCTTCCTGCTGCTTATCCTTCATCCCCCTTCCCCTCCCATCACTCCTCCTCTTCCATCTCCCTAATTGCTTCTTTTCTTAGCTGGCGTGTGCTGTTCAGTGCGCTGTTCAGCTCAGCCAGGCAACTCTTCACGTCTCACTGACTCCCAGGCATGAGTCCAGCATCGCACCCCCAAGCACGTGTCCTGCCTCCCGCTGGAGCAGCACCCAGCCTCCACTGCTGCACTTCCCCCAGTAAAAATGCTGGAGCAGACTCCCATCCCCTTCCCTCAGGCCTTCTAAATACCTTTAACATCAGAGTGTCTCAACCTCTTCCATCTCCTATCTCAGGTAATCCAGGAGGTGAAGGAGAACGCTTCAGGGCATAGGGCTTAAACTGCAACTTGCTGAGGGTTTGTTTTTTTAACTAAAGATATGCGTGTGTGTGTGTGTGTGTGTGTGTATGTGTGTACATAATTGGCCACTCTCTGGAATCAGAAATAAAATTAATTTGAGGAATTTTTTTTGGCTCTAGTTTTCCTCACTCTGCTAAAAATTATCTTGAGGTTTGTATGTTTTTGGCCAAGCTCCACTCCTGGCACTGGGAACTGGCAAAAGTTTCCACACCCTTGCTCACCCCCCCACCCCAGATGTCCCTGGGGTCGATACATTTGCTAGACAGGTGGTCCTCACTTATTGTTATGATTTAGAGGTGCACATACCAATAAGCAGCCCTGCCCTCTAGCCCAGCTGCCTGCAGTGGGGATGCAGCACAGGCACAGTGGGAAGCACCTCCAGCCCCCAGAAGACAGGCACAGCACAAGCAGCTTCTGGTGGCTCCAGGTGATGAATCCAGACTCCTTTTCTCCAACTTCCACCCCCTTAGAGCAGGAATTAATTCTTGCCACTTGAAATGAGAAGCAGCAAGGAGGAACAGACTGTGAATTTTATTCAGGATTCTTCAGACACAGCAGTGAAGCAAACACCCCGCTCCCCAAAACTGGGATCTGCTCAGTGCTGCCTGACATAACATCAGGTACCAGCATGTTCCTGGTACCCAGGCAGCACACCATTCTCCTTCTCACACTGCTGGCACAGAGCTGCTTTGGGGGATAGGGAGGGAGGCACCAAGGAATGTGATACCCAGCACAGGGACACCTCTGAGCAATACCGGTGGCCCAGAAAAGGACAGTGGCTCTGCATTTGTCCCCAGGCCACAAGCCCACACCAGTTGCCTGCAACAGTGAAAGGGCAAGGGCTGGTCCTTCCACAGCTACCACCACCTCGGTCCTCATTTGCATCCAGGGTACTCAGGAAGGGACCGCAGGCTGCAGTGGCTGATCGCTTATGTCCCCACCAGGGGCCACTGTGACATTACAGAAAGCCAGACTGCCAGGCATAGGAGGGGGCCGTGGGCTCCTGCTCCTACAGCAGCTCAGGGGCTCCATAGAACATCTGCCCTCCTCCAGGGCTGGAAGCTCAGGCCTCCGAGGTGAGTTTGTAAAAAAAAAATGGCTGCATGTGGAGAGTGAAGGGGGCTGGGGGCGTCATTGTGGGCTACCATACACTGCAGTACAAAAATAAAGATTTAAACGAGAAATGAAAAGGCTGGAGTGGAGTGTTCAGATCACATCCTCAGATCTCTGGCTTGTAACAGCTAGAGAAGGAGAGAGAAAGAGAAACACAATCAATAGTAGGAAAAAAAGCAACTGAACATGGAGGGAAGAGTGAGAAACAGAAAAAGGGAAATGACAGAGGAAACACAAACAGAAGAAAAAGAAATGAGGGTGGGAAAACAGAATAGCAGGAAGAAAAATTCCATATGATTAACATACAGTGAGTCTTAAGACAATACACTCAGGTCCCACAGCAATAGACAAGGAGGCTTTCAAACAGAGGGAGAGAGAAATGCCAGCCAGCTAACAAGTGCCCTCCATCAGGACTGGTGGAGATTGACACTGAACATCTCCAGATTAACAAGAGCCTCACAGTTTTGCAGTTTGGAGAGGAATCCTCTAACGCTTTCCATACCCAGCCCCACGCATGTCAGCCAGCCAGCCTTCCTAAGCAGGAGGCAGAGCAGAGAGGCTCATTTTGCACACAGCTGTGAGAACATCTGCAATGGGGACCAGCTGCTTCTGCTCTGCCTTTGCCACCTTTCCCACTGCGCTCTCACCCTGGCAGAGCTAGTGGGGGAAAAGGCCAGGGAAGTGAGAGCAGGGAAGGAAAAATAACAGGCTGCCTTCTGCAAACTGCCCGGGCTGGCAGGCAAAGGAGCTGCGGACGGCAGTCTGGAGAAGTGATCTGGCATGCGTGTCATGCAGACACGTGGCAGAATTCCACCCCTTCTCCGAACCACCCCTGCCTGCTTTGCATTCATTTCCACCCCTCTCCCAGCTGCACTCTCCTTTCTGCTGCCAGAGCCTCTGGTCCACAGCCATAGGATCTGCTTGGCAGGTAAAGGCACGAATAGGATGAGAATATGTAAAGCCACCTTAGGGATGAGTCAACCTCACACCTCCCTCCTTCCCCTCCCCAAGCTCTACAAACCAGGGCCATACCCACAAGAGGGAAGTGAGTCACTCATGCAGAGCTCAGGCTGGCAGGAGCTGGGAGTGCAGACAGGTAACATACCTGCAGAGGAGGAAAAGTGAGGAGCAGAGAGAGACAGAGCCCTGGGCAGAGACCAGTCTGAGCCCTGGGGGACAAAGAGAGCAGAGGGAAAGATGCTGGAGGCTGGCGAGTGGGGCAATGTGGGAGGTAGATGACAGTGCTGGGATGGACACGGAAGGGAGCAGGAGGGAGGGTCCGCAGGAAGAGAGTTTAGCACAATCCCGAATAGATGGACAGTCTGCAAATAAAAATAAAACCGTAGATAAACCAAACAGTTAAAAATACAAAGCAGCAGCCATGGTAACAGCTCTCCCCTATCAGCTTTATCTCCAGAGAGACTCCAACTCCTGGAGAAGATCGCCCCCACACCCCACACCTGTTCTAATCCTTCCCTGCTGCTAGCTGTGAGCTCTCACCAGAAAGGTGGACGAGTCTATGCCTGGGGGGTTATTTTTATCATTTTCCTCAGGGATTTGCTGCACCTTTCTCCTCTGCTTCTGCTTCTGCCTCTGCCTCCTCCTCCACCTCCTGCTCTTCCTCCTCCAGGTCCTCCTCTGTGTTCTGTGGCCCAGCATGTGGGACAAAAGGAAGAAAGAGTGGAGATACTTGCAAGATGAGCCATGGCAGTTCTTTCTGACACACAATGGAACAAAGCAATTGTCACAACACTGGAATAAAAAGGGACCTTTCCCCATGGCCAAGACAATTCTAGGTCAGGGAACAGAGAGGCTTGTTTTTCTCTGGAGTATCACATCAGGGTATCTAACCCACTTACAAGTGCTGTGACCCCACCGTCCAACAACTGCCATCAGTTGCTAGTGTTCCTTCCTGTATCCTGTGTGTCTACAAGATGTCATGCACTGCCACAGGTTTCTGTCCTTCCCTCAAAAGGGGAGCAGGAGATATCTGCCCCTCAGGCTGAGACAGAAAAAGGAAAGAGAATGCTGCAAAATCTTCAGGGAAATAAAACCCTATAGGCAGTGACACACACAGAATGGGCATGAGGAGGCATGAGGGGGATGTTAGAGTAGCATGAGAGGTGCCAGGGTGACTTGCTAAAGCCATTTGCCACATACAGCCACACACCACCCCTCCAACATACACACTCCTCCTTTTGGGCAATGGGTGTAATGCCACGGTGCTGAACACCAGGACAGGCCCCTGTATTTCACCACTGAGGTGCCCCACTGTTGCAAAGGAGAGAGAAAAGAGAGAAGGAGCAAAGAGCAAAGGATCTCATAGGCAATGGGAGCAGGGCCATAGCAAAGTTAATCTCACCTTGGCTTTGTGGCTGGGCTCAGAGCTCAGGCCATTGGGGGAGTTGTACAACTCCTTGGAGACCACACATAGGAATTCTGTCTGATCCTCATTCCCATAATTATAGGATGAGCCAATGTTCACAAGCTAGAAAAGATGAGAGCAAGAATCACAAGCACATATTCCTGAAAACACCCACTCCACCTGGGGAGCAAGGCAGAAAGCCCCTCATGCAGCACTGAGTCCAATCTGTAATCCTAGTGGAAAGGCCTCAACTAAACTAAGGAGACGACACAGAGAACCAGCAGAGAAGTTAGCCAGTATGCAAAACAGACTGGCCTCACACAGTATCCTCCAAACCTCTAGAAAGGGGCAAGAAAGGGCCAGCACGATGGCTCAGTCAATGACTTGCCCAGTATTCTCAGAGTGGGAAGGAGCCTCGCCTGGCAACTGTATGGTATTCACGATTTTTTCCCCAAAAGACAACTCCTTCCCCTCCTGCTCTGCCTTATCCATACCTGCTCAAAGCGCCATCCATCTGACATAGTGGAAACCATCTGAGTGAGCTCCTCTTCCTGGCACTGCAGCACACGGTAGACATGCTTAGGAGGCACCTGAGAGCAAAATTGCAGAGCACACTGACATCTGACAACTGTCAGATGTTAAAAGCTGTTCCCCTCCTGCAGAATGAAGTGGTAATACCCCTCCTGGACAGACCTGTCCTCTTCCCCATGTCCCAGGTGAAAGGGGAGTGGAAACCACAATCCAGCTTTCTCCTGTGCTGTCATTGGAGGCAAGAACAGTATCTCTTCTGGAGAGCAGCGACTGAGCTCAGTGCTTCCTGCATTGTGCCCAGAAGATGTTGCCCTCTTTTTATGGGGAGTTTGCATTTGTCATTACAAAATCATTTTTGCAAATGTAACAAATGCTGATGGGGCTTTGCAGCACAAAGTGACACTGCGCTAGAGGTTACAACCTGAGGCAGACAAGATGAAAGGTGAGATAGCAGACAATCCTCCCTCTAAGAAAGATTTTCAGAGGTTGCTGGCCAAGACAGGGTGTGATTGTGCCACAGGATTGATCCCTTGTCTCCATTTAACTCTTTCATATCCATCTCTTCACCCGTTTCCTCCAGGTTTCTCTACAAGTATTACCATGCTCTTCATTGTGATTACACTCCCAGGACTCCCCACACCAGAACTCCTCTCCATGACACCTTTGCCCTCCTCACAAATATTCCTCTATATCCCACAGCAACCACCTGCCTCCTTCCAAAAGCTAGAGGAGCTCACTTAGTTTCAGGGGCTACATCCAACATTACTTCTGGGATGCAAAGCAAGCCTGCAACTTGTTTATTGTAACTAATTTGGTGGTAGCTTGTCCCCTGCAAGATTTTGATGCATAGGGATTAGCATATAATCTTTAATTAGTTGCTTCTTTCCATTTCTTGCTGCTTCTCTCGAGTCTTCTCCCACTCTAGACTCATCTCTCTCCCTTTTTACACCCCTTGCTTTCCCTACCCCACTCTATCTTGCAATACCTGTGTTACTGTGTAGTCCTTCTCTTCCATTCGATCTTTGATTATTCGGATCAAAGGACCAATGTTATAGAACTCAGCTTCTTCAAGGATCCCTGAGAAAGACAGACAGAAGGACCACAAAGGCAGAAAGTTAGCAGCTCATCTTTATTTTTTGACTTGCAAAAGATCAATTCTGAGCTTCACAAGGTCCATAGGGAGAAATTCTATTACTGTCTTACTTTTTAACAGGTTTGAATTCTTGCTGCAGAGAATTGAAACTTGGCTCTCTGCATCTTGTTTCTAATGCTCACCCCTTCCTTATGCTGCCTGCTACTACAGAAACAGGCACTGCCAGTGAAGGCTTGTGCTGAGAGGACTGCTAATACCTTTCCCAGATACCTGGCCAAGGAGAACAGCTGTAGGCTCCAGTCTCTCTCAATGACCAATTGCCAATGACCTTGCTCAGATCTCTTATTAAGGCAGAGAACCACAACTTGCAGTTCTGACAAGTCACCAAAAGAGCTAGAAAAGCCTAACTTACCTCCAGGGCCACTTGGAGTTGCAGCCCCATATGACTTTATATGACCTTTGGCTCTCTTCCCTGTGATTCAACTCAAAACAGATAAAGAGAAATGCTTTTGGTTTTTTTCTCTGTGATGTCTGCACCCATCACCTCTCCTGAGACTCATCTGTTTGCTAAGAGGCCTTCAGGAAAATGGAGGTGGTTCCCAGAGAGTCAGAGAGGGAAAGGTGGCTGGAAGCCAACACTCACATATCCCCAGGGCAGTACAAAGAAAATATAGATGGGGAGATTGATCCTTCACTACCTGACACACTAAGACCTCTTCTGTGTCTCTCATTCAGCAGTGAATTGTCTAATGGGTTAGTTTTACACCAGCCTGAATGTTTGCAGCAGGGAAAAAAAGAGACAATGCAAATGAACTGGACTCCTGTTTATGCTTCAAATTTGATATTAAAACCTGCTGATGAACTCTGTCTGATCTCAGGATTACAAGAAATGTCATGTAGCAAACACCTCACAACTGTGCTTATTACAATCTTGTACCATTCTTCGGGTATATTTTTGGAACTATAACTGATAAGACTATTCTGAAGAAAACTTTCCTTGCTTTAGGTAAAAACGTGTAAGAAAGGCAAGAAGACTAATGACCATGCAAAAACTGTGCTTGGCAAGGGCTGGACAACACAGCATGTATTTGGAATTGGCTCCTTATTAGACCTTAGCATCAAAAAATTAAGAAGGCACTGTGGACTGCTGGCTGGTGACACTGTGATGTCACCAAGTCATCCTATTGGACCCACCATCAACCTCAAACGAGGGATTGGTTTGACTAACTTGCTCCACTGGAATTTCTGCAGTCCACAACCCATGAGAGCACAAGCTGCATACAGTGCATATCACTGATTAATGATGGTCTTTATTACAGTCAGTAGAAGAGATGAGCTCGGTTTTGTTTGGTCTACTGGGCTTTCATTCCTAATTAGAAACAGACATTAATAGCAAACTCAGTCACAGAGCCTGGTAAAAAGTAGATCAGGAACTAGTAAAAAATGGCTTATTGAGGCTCTGAGATCTTGCCTACTTCTGTCTTGGTGCCATCTCTGCTGGACAGTTGTGATGCCACAACACCTGCAAGGACACCTTCCTCACCCACTCCAAATCCCTTTAATAAAGGAGACAATGTCATGCTTTGCAGGCACAGCTCTCTGAAATCCCCCACATCAACATCTAAAAGGAGAACAAGAGACAACAATGTTGACCAAAGTTTTTTCCTGACTGTGGTAAGTGGGATTTTTCTGAGCTCCACAACTCACCCTCTTCAGCCATATCTTTATCCAGGACCAGCTTTCCATGACGGAGGAAATTTAGAATCGGTCCAAAGTAAGTGGGGTCCCGATCTATTAGGTATGCACCAGTTTCATCCTAGCAACAGAGATAGATTACAAGGAGACAAAAACCAAGGAAAACTTGTAACTAACCCTCAAATGCCCTAGAATAGAAAAAAATATAAACCTAAGCAAAAATGTCCACTATTTCTAAGATTCTTTGGAAACCGTGGGTCCTGAGAGTCCCTAGCCAAGTCAGTCCAGTCTAGATTTTAACTCCTGTATTGGTCTGCTCAGCATGCCAACATCAGCATGAACCAATCCAGCTGACAAAGCCCACAAAATAGGCCTCGGTCTCTTTGCACAACTGTGCATCCAGGCCTGGTGTGAGAGAGCAGAGATCCCCATACAGGAACAAGGCTGAGTCAGGCAGACACAGCTGGGAAGCAGACCCAGGATGTGGGGTGACAAAGAGGAAGAGCAGAGGGGAGATGGCCTCTCTTCTCCCCAGCTCCCCAGGAAAGGCAGGTGCCAGGCTTCAACGAGGTGGAATCTGGTATGGGGAAAGCCTTCCCGGGAGAGAGGGGAAAGAGCAGGCATTTCTTACTCAGTTATTCCTGCAGCTGCCGAGGTTTGTCTGGCTCCATCCCTGCATCCCTCCAGCCCTCCCCATGCTCGGTGGGGCAAGGTGTGGGAGGCAACCCAGCTGCCTTACCCGGTCCGACTGCAGCTCCTCGCCCTGGCACAAGCGACACAGGAAAGATTTCTGCTCCCGACACAGGGTCTGTCTGGTGGTGAGGAAGACGGTGCCCCCCACATTGAGCCTCACCCACTTGGCCTGGGTACCAGCGGGTGGTGGGATGTCCCAGGTGCAGCGTAGCCCCACGGCGCCCTGCATCTCCTCCCTGCCCTCCATCCTCATCCTCACCCCCACCTCCCCCACGGCGTGCAGGGACTGCCGCAGGTGCTGCCTGTCGGAGAATGCCGGGATCTGTAGTTTATCTGCCTCTCCCTCCGCAGCAGCCGTGTTTCCTGAGGGTCAGGATCTTCCCTGGACTAACAAGGGAGTCCTGAGAGTAGGAAGGTTGCTCGGTGCTGGAGTATATCACTGCGGCTACTGGGGTGGGGAAAGCCACAGCGCCACAGCGCTGACACTCCCTGGCTTTTCCCCTGTTCCTGTTTTCACAGACCATGGGCCAGTCAGCACTCCGGAGGTGCAGGGTGTTATGCAAAACTCGTCGGCATTTATTTCCATAGACATCCTGTCTGGCTCATTAAAAGGTTCTGGGTACTGTAGTTCTCAGGGACACGCACAAAAGGGTGATGGGAACTGTAGTTTTCCCAGCCCGCTGTTCCTGCAGTGAGGATGCTGTAACGGAGGGCACTGCGCCACAAGACCCAGCCCTGCGGCTGGTACTCTGCCTGCTTCCAGGGGAAGCTTCCTCAGACCACAGCCTGCTCCCTGGCAGCCGGCAGATTAGGCCCCTCAGCGCTGTACTTGGCAGCATTCCCTTCAGGACATCCATTAGCCCAGGCTCACCGCTCAGTGCCGCATCAGTTTACATACTCTCTTGAAGCAAAATATGCAGACTGTTGCCTTCTTGCTAACATATGTAGGGACAGTTCTGGGAACTGTAACCTGGATCCGCATGAAGTGCTGGCAGGGGGCAGGAATAATTTCTCTTCCAGCGCAGAGGAGTTGCTGACTCAGCAAACTACCCCCCTCTGCTGCTCTACCAGAGCAAACCACCCGTGCCCTTCCCCTAGGCTCCTGCCATCTCTGTTTGTGTCTGGGCAAGAGCTCAGACTGTAACTCAGCTCTGTGTGGAGTTTACCTCTGCCCCAGGCACATATCATTCGCCGAGGCTGATGTGCCAATCCTGTGTAATGGAATCTAGTCCTGTCTCTGCCACTTGCTCCTGCCAGGCCGAGCTTGGTGCTCAGCAGTTCACGTCCCAGGGCACTCCGTTCAAACATACTCCTTGGCACGAACACAACCTGAACAAGCCCTCTCCAACAGCTCTGCTTTTCTCACTCCCACGGAAGCACAGCTGCGCTCGAGCACAGCAGCTCGAGCACATTAAGAATGGAAAGGAAAGGCTGGCGTTTCACTCCATTGTGGATCAAAACCTTCCTCCACCCAAACAACTTCCTGGCTCTTCCTTGACAGAGCAATGCAGCACTGCAGAGACACACAACACTTTCTTTTTCTTGCATTTAGATCTTAGTGCCTTTTGAGGTGCAGGATTATTGAGTGAAGAGGCTGAATACAGAGAAACATTATGTTTTACTCTTAACATTCCTTTTCTTCTTGTCCGTCCTTCCTTCTTTTACTTGCAAATCACTCCCTTTTATCAGTACAGAAGAAGGCAGCATCGCCCTTCCCCCAAATCACCCAGGATTTCCTTCACAATAAAGGTATGTGTACTTCGCTCCTTCTGTGGAGGAGTGCCAAGGGGAGGAAAGGAAGAGAGGGTAACACGGAAGAGGTTTCAAGATTGCTGACCTTCAGCTAATTTAAGTACAGGAACAATTCAGCTGCTCCAAGGGTGTAAATTCAAATAATTTTGAACCAGCACTAGAGTGACCATTAACAGAGCATGAAAAAATATTTTTGTCTACCCATATGGAGCAGGCTCTGGCCAAAATTACTGCTCAGCCCTGGGACCAGTCTCCACTGAGCAGTAACATGCATCAAAGATGCCCAGACAACACTGACCCGGGCTGAAGCATCACACAGTGCAACACAGCTCTGGGCTGTCAAACTGCTGTCCTAATTCTGGCTCTGAGTCAAACCACAGCAAACTGGAGACCTCTGCCCTGCACTCTGGTGTGTGAGGCCTGCAGGACCCTTTCTGTACTAGCTGCAGCTCCAGCACAGAACTGGGGTGAGAACTGTGGCTCTCTGATATGAATGCAGCAGTTGGATGGCAGCCTATAACCTCTTATCTCCCTCTCCAAGAAATCTGCCCTGCCTTGAGTTCTTTCCCTCTTTTATCAAGGGTTCGCCCTCTCCTTTTCCTCCTCTCACAGTCCCTCAGCCTCTTTCTCCTCTTTACAGTCCATCTCTTGTTCTCAACACCTTATTTTCCTACCTCCCCCCTAACAACTCTGCTCACGAGTCCAGGATGGTCCATATTCAAGGCATACTTTCTTCCATCAGTATCAGTCTCCACTTGTGGCTGGAACCTCAAGTCTTGCTCACCCCAGGGCCATGGGGTAAAAAGTAAATTGCTAAATCTAAAGAGGTATATTGTAAATAAGGAAAGATGTCAAGGAACACCACTTTCAATATCAGAGCCTTTTTTTCCTGCAACATACAGCAAAAAAATCCTTGAAAATGCACCAGGCCAGGGATTTCTCCACAGTATATGAAAATCCTCTTCAGAAGAAGCCAGTGTGGGGTGAGTTGCCAACTGAAATGTTCTGATGACTTGGTAGCATGGGCTAAATACAGACTTGATTGCACACTATCACCAGATGTAGTTCTGAGATGCAATTAATGTGCCCTTTATAAGGTCCCTTAAAATCAAGCAATAGGACACAGCAGAAGCAAGTTTAAACAATAGGTGGCATTTAGTCAAAGGCTGGACTCGATGATATCAGTTCTTTCCCAACCTTAATGTTTTACGATTCTATCACTTGTTAATGCTATATAAAACAAATGCACAGAAACAGAGGGAAGAGCAAGTAAGAGCTTACACGGGGCTGTGTGATGGTATAAGACCATACAGCCTTGCAGAAATCCCAGTGAAATCATGGGGACCATTGCACAGATGGACTAGGAGCAGGAAAAACTCAACAGCCACTGGATACTGGACTGAGCAAGAGCTGAGGAGAGCAGAGCAGGGGCTAAACTGGGAGTGTCCTGGTTCAGCAGTCAGGCCTGCAATACAATCCTGCAGAAGGCTACACACACTGCAGAGCTCTGCAACTTGGTACATGGCATACAATGCATCTCTGGTGTTGTAGAGATGCTCTTATGGAACGCTTGCACTGTGGGACAGCAGTGGGAGCAAGGATCACTATGTGTTGGCACAGACAGTGTCACCACTCTGACAGGCTGGGAACACATATTGGGGATTACATGGCAGGAGGCACCAGAGAAGACACCAGGAAGAACTAGTTGGCATGTCCATGTAGGATCAGTGCCACTCTTTTCTGTATGAAGTGGAGAAGGGAATACAAGTGATGCTCTGACATTTTGCCAGTAAGCCAAGCATGAATTGGGCAAATAAAATTCCCTACACTGGACTTGGGAGTGGACACAGTTGACTAATAGAGTCCAGCTTGACTGCCAGCTGAGCCAGGCATATTGGAGCATGAAGAGAAAGGCCTCATGGCATACAGGCAAGCTAATCCTCCTCCAGCTGCTTGTGCTGCATGAGGTCTGCATTCAAAGCAGTGTGCAAAGCCTGTGTGTGGACATGCATCACACAGCACCTTTGCTGGAAGACTGCTGGGAGAAGGACACAAAACAGTTGTGTAGCACCTGGTTGTAAATTGGGACCAGGAGAGATGGGTGGAATATTAAATGTCCCTGCAAATACCAATTACCATGGCTCATGCAGTGCTTGGGCCAGTGATGCTGGTAGAAGAAGGGCTGCTTTAGAATTTGGATAAATTGGCAGAGGAACAAAAAGGTTACTGGGAAATGAAGTGTGAAATAGTGCAACCTGACTGCTAGGCAGCAGTACGGAAGGAAAGAAGAAGCAGGTGATGAAGACAAGTGAAGAAGAGGGGACCATGGGATTACTTTTGACTAGACGAGATTGTTTTCACAGAATCCAAACCTCCTTCAAGACAAAAGTATTGCAGATTGCACCAATAAATCAATAAAGAGTTTACATGCTGGCCTAGGATTCTCAAATTTATATAGAGAGCTGTAAAAACACCTAGTCTCAAGTTAGCCACAGGTCAATGTGACCTTCCTCCTATATCAGTGCTGTTGTTTAGGCCATCTTTTTGGCTACCATGAGCCCTACTCCACCAAAGATATGTTATTTCCAAATCCCTGTGGCAAGTTTTCCACAGGAAAGTCATGAGCATTAGTGCTCTGCATTATATCCACTTCTCCCCAGCTTTCAGTTTCTGTAGGAAACCCACTGAGTAAGGGACATAAAGATCTGCAGAGCATTTATAGTCCTGGTGTAAGTCCTGTCAGCTGTTCCATATGTCCAGTAGCATCTGTTATAGCTCAAAATAGGGTTTTGCAGTATCCAAGCTTTGAAAACATTGTCTCAGTCTTCCTAACCTTCTTAGGGCTTTGCTGGCACAACCAGCTCTCAACTACAAGGAGGGGTAACATCAGAAGACACTCTTGAATAGATTGTTGATACATGACATAAGAGGGAAGACCCCAGAAAAACAAAGTATCTTGCTGTGGGAAAGAAGATCTCAGTTTCTTCCCTGTGGAGAAATCAAGGCAAAGTTAAGCATTTAGGAAAAGATTTGCCAAAAGCTGGGAAGAATCACTGAGATTTTGTAGGAGAAAATTCAGCCTTAGAAGGGCAGTTGAGTTCTGCCAAGCTTGGCATAAATACTAGAGAGGGGGAAGGGCCCTGCTAGATGTCATCATCGAGCCACAGGCATGAAAAGTAGAGCAAGGGGAGAGGGAAGATTTCCACTTGATTTGCAACCTTCAGGTGGATGGCTGGGCTGTGCCACACACAGGACAGAGAAAAGCATCTCAGTCTCAAGAGGAAACAGAGAGATTCCTGTTGACCCCAAAGACTGCTGGGTCAGAGGCAAAAAAGAAACACAGTACTTAAAATGCACCAAAAAATATCCCGGAAGGATGCACAAGAGCCAGCTCCCTGCATCTATTGCAAATAAGTCTGAAACAATATGTCAATTTTCCTAATGACTAAATTTTCCTGGAGAAACAGAGCAGGCAGAGCACTCATCTGGCCACATAATCATAAG